CCCACTGCACCCCTGCACCCACAGCCCAGGCGCGGCGGCGGGATCGGCAGAGGAAGCCCCCGTTCTGCGAGAGGCGAGGAGCCGGCGTCTTGGGACCCCGGCGGGCGGTGGATGTTGGGCATGTTAGGCCCCATTGGGGACGTGTGTACCCATATCCACCGCCTCCCCCTTCTCCTCCTCCTCCTCCTCCTCCTCCTGCTCCTCCTCTTCCTCCTCCTCCCCCTACTCCTCCTCCTCCTCCTCCTCCTCCCTCCTCCTCCTCCTCCTCCTCCTCCTCCTCATCATCATCATCCTCCGCCTCCTCGCTCCTTCCTCTCTCCTCCTCTCCTCCTCCTCCTCCTCCTCCTCCTCCTCCTCCTCCACCTCCTCCTCCGCCTCCTCCCCCTCCTCCTCCTCCTCCTCCTCCTCCTCCTCCTCCTCCTCCTCCTCCTCCTCCTCTTGCGCTCTTGCGCTCCTCAGCGGTCGTCCCGATGACACAAGACGCCCGCCCTTTACAGAATCGGAAACTCAGCTCCTGAGGGGGACAGGGATGACCGCCTCCAATTTAGAGTGCGAGGGATCCTTCCCCTGCTTCAAAATCCCCAGGACTTTCCGTTTCCACACAGTGTCGGGGTTTCCCGCACACTCTTTGCACAACTCCTTGACCTTCGAACGGGCATACGCTCCGCAGCGCACGCACCAGGTCAGCCCTCCATTCTGCCAAAGACGATGGGTGGGGTGGGCCTGGGACACAATCCTCGGACGCCCAGGACACGGCAGCTGCACCAGCCGAGAGCGAATCGCCCGCGCCAGCCCACAGACGCCACATCCCCACCCACCGCCAGGAGCCTGCGAGACAACGTGACCCTTATCATCTGGGACTATCTCTAGAATCGGGGCCTCCGAATTCCTAGGCTCTCTTTTGGCACGCTCAGAGTATGATGATACATCAGGATAGCCCAATTGATGGACATGCTTGAGAACTGCCACCATATATCTGGAGATGAGCGCAACCTGATCATGATGATGCCGCAGACGATCCCGAAGGTGATGATTTGCTGGATGCGCCTTGGCACCTGACTTGGCCCAGGAGTCTGCCTCCTGGTTGCCTCTGATCCAATGAGGCTCGTAGCCTCTTCGTTGCGCCGCCGCCTCCGACATATGCGGAGGCATCCAGCACACGTTCACCGAATTTGCTCCAACGTCCTCGATCCTCATCCAGATGAGGCGCCAGAGCTCCGCGTAACACTTGTTGGATTTTACCGTCCCCTCCCTTCCCATGTTCCACCCGTCGTAGACAATTTTACAATCCGTTATGATGTGGATACTGGGTCCCATGAGGCACAGCGCCATGTAGAGGGCGTAAAGCTCACTGGACGGCACGTCCTGCACTGGGAGGGGGGAGGGCCCGTAGGCCACTGCGCCCACCTGCATACTCGGGCTGATCGAGACGACCGCCCAACCAGCACGCAACAGCCAACGAATGTCTCCGTCGTAGGCGGAGCCGTCGATGCAGACGGTGTCGCCTAGCACTCCACTCTCGGGCTTCACCGCCCACCTAAACTCGGCACATTGGAGGATCTTGGGGAACTCGGTCCTCTTGGAGTCCACCAGGGCTCTCGTGAACAAGATGTCAGGCTGAGTCAGGGCCACGGCGGCGGCCCCCATTCCACTACCGTCATGGTCCCTCCTGATCAGCTTGGAGCCATCACAGCCCCATAATCTGTGAAAAACCGACCCCCTCATCTGGAAGCACCACTGGCACCGATCATCAATCACGTATCTCTTCCTGAACACGTCGGCCGGAGTCCAGAGACCTCCAGAAACCTGCGCGACAAGCAGACTGGCCCCAAGGAAAACTCCAGCACCTCTTAACCTAGCAAGTTCATCACGCAAAGGCTCCACATATGGCTCCCAAGAGGCATTGTAATGAGCTCCCGCACGTATACGTAGCAGCCGCCTAGTCGCTTCATCCGCTAGGGTTTGCACAGTCCTAGGCCCTACTTCTTTGATGTTGATGGTCACTCCGTCAGCGTTGACCCAAACATCCCAGGAGACAGCTTCCCATTCGAGTCTACGAAGGGTGAGCACAACCGCTCCTGCTGGGCCTAGGACCGTCCTCCACCCTTGAGACCTAGCCTTGACCGCGTAGTCGAAGGCGTGCTCCATCTGGGCACCTGTGGCCCACGAATCAAAAACTGCTCTGGCCCACATCTGCAGAGGCAAAGAATTTGCTGCGAACATCGGGTCGAGCTTCTCGACCTCCGCCAAAAGGAACTGCAAGCTGCGACTGCGGCCCTTGACAGGCCCGAAAATCGCCGCCCCTGTCGAGGCGCGCTGCTGCTCCAACTGCGCGTCGCCGAGACCGACGACCGAGACTCCATACATTACCGCCAGCGCGGGGCCTCCTCGGTACACATTCTGAAGCGGCTTCCGAGAGAATCTGAAGGCCCTGAACCTTCTCACCCTGCCCCTGGTCGTCTTCAGTCTCTTTTTTGTGACGTTTCTACCCTTTTCCAGTCCTCAGCTTGAAATCGACCCCGAGGTTTTTGGTCGCCTGAACATACTTGAACCCAAATTCCCGAAGCGCCCATGCCAGCTGCTTTCCAAGTTACGGGTCCGAGGCCACCAGGATCGATTTACGTATCGAAACCTTCATATCGAGCTTCTCCAGGGACCTGCAAACAAACAGAGTGCACCTAACTAGCTGAGTCCGAATATGCTTCTGATCCCCCACTGCCTGGAGACCAGCGTCGCCCACCATCAAGGAAATGCCGATCCTCGGCCACTTCTTGGCCGCATCGTCAAAAACATCTAACAACACCACGTTCAGCAGCGTCGTCGCATACGAGCAGCCTGCCACAATGGTGGTGTTCAGCTCAAAGGGCAAAGACACCGCCTCTCCTACTTTAATGACCCGCTTGCCCGAGTAGACCAACAGGAGAAACCTTAACCTCCTCAAACTGAACCCGCGCTTGTTACATGCTCTTATCAACTGCTCGCGCGTGATTCGTTCGTACGCCTTCTCCAAATCAATCAGCGCACATCCACTGAAAAATTTGCTGGCTCGAGCGGCCTCGTTCAACAACGCCTGCTTCCAGAAAGCCATCTCGCAACTCGTACCTTTTCCTCCGTACATGCACGTGCGCGCGTGCTTGTCCCCCCACCTTTCCGCCTCCTCATGCCGAAGCCGACTATATAGCCGTACAGGGGTGGAGATTATCCCAATGCCCCCCCCCCCCCCTTCAGGCTTCTGCAAAAACGGCAAAATGAGCAGCGCAATCTGCTCGGGCAGCTGGGAGCGCGCGTCCCACAAATACATCAGGACACTTAGAGCAAGCAGGCCAGAGGTACAGAGCTGTTTCAGCGCATGCGGGGCCCAGTTACAGACTCCCACGGCGGTGTGCTTCTTGAACTTCCCCAAGACGGACCTGATTTTCTCTGGCGCAACAGGCGGCTTCGGGTCCTCGAGGGGCATCTCACTGAGCATCCTGGGGGCGACCTTGGGCACCTCCCCGAACCTCCAGATGTGCTTCCACTCCTCCTCCAGGGCCTCCACCTGGTCCTGAAAACCTCCAGGGGCCCCATCGAGGCCAGGGTCCGCGGGGATCCAGTCGTTGGGCTGCTTCGTCCACCTGTGAACTCTCCCTCCGCCGTTTTCCAGGGCCAAGCGGGGCCACTGTCTCCACTCTTGTTGCCGAGACCTTTTCCAAACCTGCTCCTCGCCCTGGATACACTTTACATGGTCCTGGATCGCTTCGTGCAGCGCCTCGGCGTGGTATCCTTCCAGAGAAAAATGCTCATGCCTCCAGTTGACCCAGCGCTCGCACTCCCACGGGATCGCGGGCGGCCCCCTTGCCTTTCTCAGCAAGTCCCGCACCTGCTTATCCTGGCCTGAACGGCCCTTGCGGAGCAAAAACAACAACTCCTCCATCCTGACGTTATACCTCCTCATCGCCCTGGAAACTGGGGATCCCAGAGGGTAGGGGCCTCCGACTTTCGTAAGCGCGGGCCTCCAAACGAACCTGAAGGGGGCTCCTCTTCCTTTGTACCCATCGGCCTGCGCTGGATCGATCTGGTAAGTGTTCACCAGCTCCTGCTCAGCCAATGCACAGAAATCCGCATACGCATCCTTCGCCTGCTCAGCCGTGAAGACCGAGCCTTCCACGAAGGTCTCCAACCTATCTAGCAACTCTTCCCAAGCTGGCGGTGGGCCCGGTACAGGCCCCACTGGTAACTCAACGGGAAACTGACGCGGTTGGGCCAGCACGCGAATCTGAGCAAGACGCGAGTCCGTGCGAAGCACTAGCTTAACTGGGAAATGCGTCGAAAGCTCTGTCTCTTCAATCCTATCGCATCTTACCACTGCTGGGACCAGTCCTCCGGAGACTATGAAAAAATCAATCGTGCGCCATTCCTTGCCCACTCTGCACGTAGGCTGCCCAGGCTGGACAATGACACCTCCGAACTTCTCCAAGATCCCAAGGCCTCTGATTTCATCAGCTGTCGAATTGAAATCCCCTCCAATAACAATGGGTTTCCCAGACGTATACAGAGACTCTCCGAGCTGCATCAGGATCTGGCGCCCTTGGGCCCCTGCACCTTCCCCCCACGGTAAGTAAACTGAGACCCCAATGATGCCACCCTTCAGCAGACCACCAATCCACGCGGATACAACTCTCGAGGTTGGTCTCGGCAAGCCTTCCGGGGTGCCCATGCCTACTCCTAATCTACAGGCGACTCCTACCCCCGAAGACAGGCCTCCAGACTGGGTCACCTCACAGGCTCCTAACCTTACATTCCAACCAAACTTCAGAAGCGTGCTGCTAGATTGGGCCAGATTGGCCTTCTCAACTTTGCACTCCTGAAGGAAACATGTGACCCCATCACATTCCTTCTCCAAAAAACTCTGGCATCTCGGCCAACTAGTGACATTGGCCGAGAAAAAGCTCCACAGGCTAGGAACTGGACAGCTTAGACCTCGATCCTGGGCTCCTGCTGCGCCTGTCTCGTTTTGCCAC